AGGGTTGCGGTGCTCATCTCCGTTTCAAAGCCGAAGAGCCAGCGCTTTCCGAAGACGTTTCCGTGGTCATGTGGCCGGCATGACTAAACACCAAGGCGCACGGAACGCTGTTCCCTTCCCACCGAAATGGTACCTATTTATCTACTTGCAATTTCTTGCTTTCGAACTGCTAGGTTGGCAGGAGCTGGAACTAGAGACGGGAGCTCACCCTGTCTTGCGGCACCCGGGTCTCGAACTGCTGAACTACTGACCTTCCACAGCCTGCAGTTCAGCGTCTTAACCACTTGAGCCACCGCAGCACATGATATACAGCTATCTATATTCTAATCCAAATCTCCTGGTGATCATGGATGCAGTGGAAGTCCTGGACCGCTGCTTGGCTGCTGTGGTTCAGTGGCTAAGAGCAAATAAATTGAAACGAAATCCTGGAAAGACTGAAGTGATGCCAGTTGGGAAGGTGGAGGTCTTGAATGACTTTCTGCTCCCTGCTTTCCATAGAGTTCAGTTGGCCCCTGCAGACTCTCTTGAGAGCTTCTGGACCAAACTTAGAGTCCAATGGCACCTTTAAGACCAACAAAGTTTTATTCAAGGTGTGAGTTTTCGTGGGCACGCACACTTTGTCAGACCATGAAATGGAATGACATATCATAGTTGTATATATAGGAGTGGTTTGTTAAATTAGCATTCAAAATAGTGAGGACGCTTTTTTTTTTTAGCAGATCAAAAGAATGACAAGTTTAGTTCCTGGTTATCATCTGTTTTGGTTCAACTGGGAGGGGGGGACACAACATAGGTAATAGATATGTTAGAACTGGAGAGTGATGTGCCCTAATTTGTGAGAATCCCGTCCTTAGACCCCATCCATCTTCTTTCAAGCATGGAGGTGAATTTTACAGCATCTTGGCTAGGTTGAGTGTTTTCCTTGTCCCCAAAACAAAGAACTGCATTGAAATCTACCATTCCAAATTACATTACATATTCAATTAATTGCTTATAGTAGTAATAACATTTTGCTTCGATAAAACATGGAGTGAACTGACAGAATCCTTTTCCTGGCGTACAGTGTCAGAGATCAACAAGATATTGCAATGCATTACAATCACTATTATAATATACTATCTCAAAAAAAGAAAAGAAAAACATAAAAATATAGGGGATATATATAGCCCTTCTTGGTGGTACATACGTGAGGATTGAATGAGTTAGCATGTGTAATGGGATAAGAAACCAATATTCCTGTTAAGTCCTGGTGGGGTGTTTGTTCCGAGTGTTGCAATAACTTGTAATTCAGCTATTTCTCTTTCCATTTATCTTCCTGAAATTCCTTTGCAATAAAACATCTACTTAGAGGTCAGCCATTGAATGTGCTGGAAGGTTGAAGTGTTCTCCTACAGGTTTCTCAGTCTTGTGATTCCTGATGTCTGATTTGTGCCCATCTATCCTCTGGCGTAGGGTTTGTCCTGTTTGTCCTATGTAGAGAACCAAAGGGCAATTAATGGCATATACAGTGTTAGGAGATGAGCAAGTGAATGGTGTAGTGCTGTAGTTGGTATTGTTGGATCCAGTGGTTGTGTTGTCTGGGTGTATGTGGCAGCAAAGTTGGCATCTAGGTTTATTGCAAGCTCTGGTACCAGTGTCCATGTTCAAATTAGATGTTGCATTATTGTGGGTGAGGAGTTGTTTGAGATTGGGGGGGGGGGTTGTCTGTGCAAGAAAAGGTTTGCCTCCCAGTATTTGTGAAAGAGAACTGTCCTGTCCAGGAGAGGTTGTAAGTCATTGAACTGTTTTGAGTTGAGAGTTACATTTGATCACAAGGGGTGTTCTGTTACTGTCCTTCTGGGGCTTGTCTTGTAAAAGGTTTTCTCTGGGTACCGTTCTGGCTTTGTTCATCTCTCTCCTGACTTCAGGTGGATACTTTAGTTCCAAAAAGGTCTGTTGTAGATCCCTCAGGTGGGAATCTCTGTCTGTAGGACTGGAACAGATGCGGCTGTAGCGTAGAGCCTGGCTGTATGCAAGGGATCTTTTGGTGTGTTTAGGGTGGTAGCTGGAGGCATTAGTAGGTTTCCGGTATAAAGTGGTTTCTATGTGTCCATTGTGTAGTCTTAACAGTAGTGTCCAGAAAATGTGTTTCTTGCATAGATTGGTTCATTGTCAGGTTGATGTTCGGGTGAAAGTCGTTGAATGCCTGGTGGAATGTGTCCAAGGCTTCTTTACTGTGTGTCCAGACAAGAAAAATGTTGTCAATGTAACACAAATATAAGAGAGGTATGAGTGGGTATTACTGGACCCAACAGGATTGCTGGAAAAACAAGTTAATGCAGTTACAGAAAAGGCTTCCTTCCAACTCAGCCTAGCCCTGCCTTGATACTGCTGATCTGGCCACCTGGATCCATCTCATGGTGACATCGAGACTAGACTACTGTAATGAATTGTAGATGGGTCTTATTAAGTTTGCCCTTACTAGGGCCAGGGCATTTTCGGTGGCGGCTCCTACCTGGTGGAACAAGCTCCCGGAGGAGATCCGGGACCTTGTGCAGTTCCGCACGGCCTGCAAGATGGAGCTCTTCCGCCAGGCTTATGAGTAGGAGCCGCCACTACCCCACCACCGCGGTAGTGTTTCATCGGCTGCCCCCATTAAAGGGGGGTAAGCATTGCCTGGCAGGAGTTTACAGATAGTGTCGCTATCGAGATAGCTGGCTGCCAAAATTGGGGTGGTGGTTCCCATCTTGGAAGAATTGACATAGGAAGATTACAGCACCGTGATGTACCATAGATTTTATTGTGGTTTTAAATGTTGTTATTCTGTTACATGTTTTATTGTATTTTATATTTCGGCTTTGCCGCATGTGAGCCGCCCTGAGCCTTTGGGAGGGCGGGATACAAATAAATAAATAAATAAATAAAATTAATTCAGGAACTCCAGTTGGTGCAGAATGCCGCAGCTTTGCTATTATCGGAACTAGACGGAGCATGCCTATTACTCCCCTTCTGCAGTCACTCCACTGGCTGCCCATCAGTTACCGGGCTCAGTTTAAAGGAGCAGCTGTCCCATACGGAGCCCTTCATGGCCTTGGAGCCTCGTACCTGCAAGACAGTCCCTCCTTCTAGGCTTTGCTATGACAGCTTCACTCGCCTGAGCAGGGACTTCTGCAGGTCCCACCCGGCACATGGGCAGAATCAACCACTGCCCGTCCACGTGCCTCCTCCTTCGTGGCACCCACTTTATGGAACAGCCTGCCTGAGGAGGTCAAGAAGGCTCCCGCTCTCCTCCCTTTCCGCAAAATATAGAAAATTGAATTATTCAAGAGGGCTTTTTTACACAGGCAATAGGGTAGCACTGTCCAAAATGATTCACAAAGTCACTTGGAGAAACTGTTATGGGCTGTGGTCTACATTAATGTGTATTTGTGGTTGGCTGCCGTCAAATCACAGCTGACTTATGGCGACCCTATAGGGTTTTCAGGACAAGAGACCTAGAGAGTCGGTTTGCCATTGCCTGCCTCTGCATAACGACCCTGGTATTCCTTGGAGATCTCCTGTGCAAATAGTAGCTAGGACTGACCCTGCTTAGCTTGTAAGATCTGCCAAGATCAGGCCAGCCTGGGCTGTCCAGGTCAGAGTACTAATGTGTATAGCTTATTGTAAGTATGATGCTATTTTTTAATTTTTGTACTGCTGGAAGTTGCATCCTACTATGCAATTTTGCATCATTTAGTGGTTCATGTGAACATTTATGCTTTCCTTCAGTACTGTTTTTCAGTCTTCTGTTTGGTTCTACAGCCCAAATTCTATTTCATAGTTTATTGAATGTGCCATCCTATTGCCTGGATTGAGTCACTCTGTCTAAACTCCCTTGAGTCCCGGTGAGAGAGGCGGACTTTAATAACATAACTAAACACATAATACATGCATTAGTCGCGATGGATCCGTGGGAGTTGCCCACTGTGTTTAAAGTGTTTTAACTGTATTTTATTGCACTGTGTGCCTTAATTGTTTTTATCTGTGGTGTTGTATTTCACCTTGTTGGTTGTAAGCCGCCCTGAGCCCGCGTGCGGGGAGGGCAAGGTATAAATGAAATAAAATAAATAAATAAATAAAATGTTTAAATTTGTTAGCCGCCTTGGTGGTCCTGGGGGAGAAAGGTAGTTATCTGGATTTTGTAAATTAAAATACCTGAAAATAAATTCTCAGCCACGGTGCTTGTAGGGAGGCCCAGGAGGGGCTCCCAGGCGTGATCACATGGGATGAATCATGCAAGCTCATTGGCAGCTCCTCATGCAAAGCATTTGAGGCGGTGCTTCATGTCCCACCTGCCATTTTCCTGGGGGTTCCTTGCCTCCCCCTGTTCATCCAGGCAGCCCCTCTGCCCTGACCTGGAGAGGCTTCATGCTCCTCTGCCCCTTCCCCTCCATCAAGTACTTGGACTGAGCTATTGCCAAACGCATCCAGCCTACGGAGGAGGTATTTGCAGTGGTTAACCCTTTACCAGTTGCTTTGTCCCGGGCTCCAGTTTATGTTGAGAGCAGCCCCTTCTCTGATACGCAGCCATCGGAGGCCAAGATCATAACATCGGCAACAGATTTTTAAAGAGCCAAATAAAGACCATTGATTTTCTCGAAGAACCAAATGGGCATACCTAAAAAAGCTTTATACATAATATAACACAATAACATGAATCCTGATCTGCAAAATAAACAAGGAATCTCCATCTGATTCATTGGGGCAATCTTTAGGTGTCTTGACCGGGGTTGGTGATGTAGTTCCGTTCCCTTTCGGTTTCTTTCTGGCTTTTTGATATGTTTTCCTCTCTCTCTTCATAGACATGTGAGAGTGTCTTTCCACAGTTGTCAGCCCAAGAAAAGGGGAAGGCGATGGAAGAGGGGGACCCAGAAAGACCTGTAATTCACTGGAGATCAAGGAAAGGTCCCCATCCCATTCAAGCAGGGAGTGGTGTTGCATTCTGGGAAAGAGCTGTGCCAGAGATCTTGGTTCAGAACACGATGACCGCAGATGTATGCAGCCGACACTTCCGGCGGTTCCATTACCCCAAGGCCAGTGGGCCCCGAGAGGTTTGCAGCCAGCTCCATGGACTCTGCAACCAATGGCTGAAGCCGGAGAGGCACACCAAGAAGCAGATCCTGGACCTGGTGATCCTGGAGCAGTTCCTGGCTGTCCTGCCCCTGGAGATGGAGAGTTGGGTCAGAGAATGTGGGCCGGAGACCAGTTCCCAGGCGGTGGACCTGGCAGAAGGTTTCCTTCTGAGCCAGGCAGAGGAAAAGAGACAGGCAGAGCAGGTGAGGGGGCTTCCTTTGCTCAGTTCAAGTCATAAGCTTATGCTAAGGCTTCCCGGCCAGATATTCCTGGATCTAGATAATTTGCTTGGCTGGGAAGAAAACCCAACCCTGATTCCTGCTCCTGTGGTTGAACTGGCAATGCCGGTCAGTGTGGGGTGACAAGTCTGGGAGTGGGGGAGCATCTGTCTCCTCGGCCTGTTCCATTCTTTCTCTTAGCCATCTCCTTTTCTTCTCTTTCAGATGTGGGCACCAGCAGTGCAGATGGAAGCAAAGTTCTCTGAGGAGGAAGGGTCTCCTTCAGAGGAAAGGCAAAGGGCTCAGGCCCAGGAACTTCCCCGAAATGGCCTCTCACCTAGTAAGCCTGTTTTGTGGCCAGATGGGATTGAGGCACACAGTGAAGTTCTTGGGTGGAGGCTTAGGACAGCAGCAAAAGGAAATACTTCTGCACACAACAGAGTTAAATTCTGGCGTTCGGTTCCATTGCATAAAGTGATGGCCGCCCACTTAAAAGGTGATTGGACAGATTCATAGAAGGCAATCCTGAGTACATTTCTTAGCCATGGCAAATGAATGGAACCTCCATGTTCCGGGGCAGCATACCTCTAATAATGCATTGCTAGGGGGCAACATTTGCCTTCTGTGCCCCTGATTAAAGGCTTTCCAGTCAGAAAGAGGAGAGTGGACTGTGGACGCCAGCCTGTAGCCTGGCACTCCGGTGACGTTTGAGGGTGGTGTGTGGACTAGATGTGTTGTTGGAGCATCAGCAGACAGTCTAGAAACCCTTCAGTTTTACCTTGAGTTTTCATATACGCTGAAGTCGTATCTTGGTTTTCAGAGTGCCTGCTGCTGCTCTTTCGCCTCTCCCACAATTTACTAAAAATACTCATAAATGTTGTAGAGTGTGCCTATGGCAAGGTTTCACATCCGTGAGAAGGAGGTTGCATGAAGCGGGATTCAAACGAGGAAACAAACGAGGGAGTCTAGGCTAACAACCTTTCTTCCTTCTTTGTCTCCCTCTCAGGCAGCGGACGGGGAGTGTTCAGCCATCATCTTGGCAGAGGTGTGGAAACAGCTGCTGCACCTCCAGTCCAGGTAGCAGAGATGAGCGGGAGGGGGGCAGCCTGGGTTCCCCCTCCTCTTTCACAGGGGGGCTTTTGCTCCTGCAGTTGCTCCTAAGGTGTCTGAGGGGAAGAGGCTCTGGGTGCCACGCCCTTTGCCCATGCCAAGCTCTGCATCCTGCACCATCCCCAATTGTCCCCTTCCAGGGTGCCTTCTCTCCCTGTCATGATGATCTCTGAGGAAGGAATCTGCTTCTTCTTCCAGCGTCCCTTTTCCTTTGAGGAGGTGGCTGTGCACTTCACCGAGGCAGAGTGGGCGCTCCTGGACCCGGACCAAAGAGCTCTCTACAGGGAAGTCATGCTGGAGAACTATGGGAGCGTGGCCTCTCTGGGTAAGGATCTTTCATAGGCATCACAGGTGTGAACTGCTGCCATTGGGGTGAGGCACGAGTCAAAACACTGAACACAAAAACATAATTTTCAGGCCTTCCCCACTACTTATCCTGTGTTGGGGGTCTTGAGAGCCAGTTTGGTGTAGTGGTTAAGTGTGCGGACTCTAATCTGGGAGAACCGGGTTTGATTCCCCACTCCTCCACTTGCACCTGCTGATGTGACCTTGGGTCAGTCACAAGCTCTGACACAGCTGTCCTTGAAAAAGAGCAGTTTGTGTCAGAGTTCTCTCAGCCCCACCCACCTCACAGGGTGTCTGTTGTGGGGAGGGGAAGGGA